TATAGTAACAAGCATATATGGAAATCTACTCCCAAATCAAATCAACTCCCAGTTTTTTAGAATTATTAAAGAGTATATTCCACCAAATTGAAAAATGAAGAAACTGTGTGAAAAAATACAAAAGATACATATTAAAAACATTTTTTAAAGACACATATATTGTCAATATTTTCAGTCAAACTCAACAACACTCTGTATTTGTTATGGCACATGAGAGAGTAAGAAAAGGAGAAGCAAAAAGCAAGGCACTTTGGATTGAAACATTTACAAGAAATACAACCATTATCAGGAGGCTACAAAATGGCATTGGTGAGGAATAGAGGAAGAAGAGAAATCTGAAAGTGTGTGAAGGATCTTTTTTTACTCTATGGATAAGAATAAATCCAGATATTGATAATAAAAAGTAACTTTAAATGTGTGTATTATGAATTTCAACACTGAAAAAATGAAACAGATGCCTTTACTTCCAGATTATCAGAGGAAAAGAATAACATGAAAAGAAAGAAAATAATCACAAAGTCCAACTACATAAATAATAACTATAAATGTGGATTAAGAGGTCACAAGAGCTCACTAAGGAAACAAATTATTTAAACAGAGACTCACATTTGGAGCTTTAAAACATTGAACTACCTGCAACTTATAAGACACTTAAAGACATGGAAAATTAAGAAATGATGAAATAGATAATGAAATCACTTATTTAAGGAAATTGCAAACAGAAATTACTATCATGGAAATTAGAATTCAAGAAGACAACAACAAGGTTTCCTATTGACAAAATGTGCAATCATCTGAGTTGTCATGCCACAGACTTGAGCAAAGACGTTAGGCTGGAGACTAAGGTGTGCCTGATCTGGGCTATAGTCTTCGCAATTATATGCTATGCATCAGAGAGTTGGACAGTGAATACGGATGACAGAAAGAGAATTAACGCCTTTGAGCTGTGGTACTGGAGAAGAATGTTGAATATACCATGGACTGCTAGGAGAACAAACAGATTTGTCCTGGGGAGGGTGAAGCTGGAATGCTCCTTGGAGTTAAGGATTTTGAAGCTTCCTCTGGCATACTTTGGGGATGTTGTAAGGAGAACTGGTTCTTGGAGAGGGACATCATATTTGGGAGAGTGGAGGGATGGCTCTGGAGAGGAAGACCCTCGGTCAGATGGATAGACTCTGTGATTGGGGTGGTGGGAATGAGTGTGTCGGAGACGGTGAGGTTGGCACAGGATAGAACAGCATTTAGTACATAGGGTCACTATGAGTCGCAAGCAACTCGACAACACATAACAACAACAAATAAAACAGCTTCCAGATAGATAATGAAAAACACATACTAAGATCAGAACAAAAAGCTTTTTCGTGTTACAGTGAGAGATACAACACTCCTGTCTCAAAATTCTACTTTTCAAAAAAGTGGAAAAGGTGATCATAAAGGACCTTAATAAACTTGGAGAGGAAGACTCTCAGCGACATGGTTTATACAGTGATTGAAGCAACAGTCTCAAGTGTGTCTGGGATGATAAGGATGTAGCAGAATAGGAGAGGATTCAATGTGTGGTTCATACAGTCACTCACTATGTGTTGTACTCAACTTGATGGCTCCTAACAAAAACTACAGTAATTATGTGCCGTCTAGTTCCTTGAGATTCATAGCAATCCTATGTACAACAACTCTGAAGCCTGCCCTGTCATAAGCCAGTCTGACTCCGACACACCTATATCCACTGCCCCAGTTACTGTAACAATCCATCTCATCTGGGGTCATCCTCTTCTGTACTGTCCCTCTACCCTTTCTGACCATGATATTCTTCTCCAAGGATCAGTCCCTTCTGGTCACATGCACAAAATAAATGAGATGGAGCTTCAAAATCCTAGTCTCCAAGGAGAAACTTGGTTTCACCCTCTCCAAGACAGATCTATTTGTTTTCTTGGTGGTCCATGGTATGTTCAAGACTCTTCTTCAGCACCACAACTCAAGGGTACCAAGTTTCTCAATCCATCTCAGTGAGGGCCTTCCTCTCTTTTTTGACCCTCCCTTTCCAAGCATGATGTCTAAGTATATAAGATGAAGTTTCACTTTCCTTACCTCCAAGGAGCACTCTGGATGCATCTTTTCCAAAACATATTTGTTTGCCCTTTTGGCAGTCCATGGAATAATAGGCACTCCTCTCCATTATAACTTCAAGGAATCGATTCTTCTGTCATCTTTAGTCTTTGTCCAACTATAGAAAGCTAAATATTAGGGTACAGACCAATCTCTACATTACAAAATAGTCAACAGAGTGTGTACTCAATTAACATCTTATAGCTGACCACACATAATGTGATGTTAAGGATTTATTGTTCAAAAGGGCTTCCCTAGCCATTTATTGACTTTGCCATGTGCATGGCAGGAATATGTGAATAAGGCATGTTAGCCTATCCACAAGGGGATGGCTAATCTCACCAGTAAATTGAATGGATCCAGCAGCAGAATTTGGGAATCTCACCATAAGCAAAGAAGTGGCAAGAGAATGCAGAGCATCCTTTAGGGTCACAGATTCTTACAGCAGCCAGACCAGGGCCATAGCAAGCCAGAGCTGAGAACCAACCACAGACTTGCTATTAGACGGAGCAGACCCTGGGAATGCTATACCATTGAACCAAAGCTTAAAGCATTTTGCTCAACTTTGTTATTGGACTGCAGGGAAGAGCCATAATTGGCAGGGCTAAAACTTGTAACACAGGCCTAAAGGCCTGGTGAAGCTGAAGGTGCCTGTGAGCACATCAACAGCTCTCCTGATTGGGTGATTCTATTCTGCTACTAACCTAAATTATAGGCTCTTGACTTCCTTAATATGGTTCTAGCTGGTCTATGAGCTATCCATGAGCAACAGATTTCAGACCCAGTAGAGCAGTAAGATTGATGCTGGAATGAGTGAAAAGAGGTGTGGAGCTAAGGGTGTGGTGGACATGTCTGACTTCATGCTTTGTTATTGTTAGGTATCAAGTTGAGTACAATTCATAGAGACCCTATGAACAACTGATCTAAATCCTGTCTTATCCTGTATCTTCCTCACAGTCTCTGATATGTGAGTATATTGCTACAGTCACTGTGTCAATTCACCTGGTTAAAGGTCTTCTCTCTTTTGCAGTCCTTCCCAAGCATGATATCCCTCTCCAAGAAACAGCATCTCCTAGAAACATGCCCAAAGTATTTGAGACACAAATTTATCATCTTTGCCACCAAAGAGCACATGGCTGCACCTTCTCCAAAGCATATCTGTTTTTTTTTTTTCTTTTGGCAGTCAAGGGATATCAAGCACTCTCCTCCAGTTCAAAGGCATCAGTTCCTCTGTCATCCTTATTCATTGTTAGCAGTCAGGAGATCAGAAGACGTAATGCACTGGGAAAAGTTTGTAGCTAGAGACTTCTCAAAATAATTGAGTAGCAATGATGTCAGTTTGAGGACTAAGGTGTTCCTGATTCAAACCATGGTCTTTTCAGTCACTTGGTATGCATCAGAGAGCTGGACAATGAAGTCTGACCTCATGGGAATTAAGTTTGTGTTGTTGAGGCTATAGACAGGGACAGTTCCCCTTTATGAAGTTGGTAAATGTTACATATGGCCATCCATCTGTGGCTCTTGCTCATTTTTACACATATACATACACAAATCCTCAACAAAGTATAAAACACACAAACCATGCATCAATAAAATACAACCAAATGAACTAATTTACTTAGATTGGCATTATATGGCCCAAAACATCTAAATGACTACTGTGATGAAGGGAGCCCTAGTGGTCCAGAGGATATAGAGTTGTACTGTCAACCTGAAGGGATGTGGAATCCACAGGCTGTGCTCATAATAGAAAGTGGGGAAATCTCCTCCCATACAACTTGTTGTTGTTGTTGTTACTATTGTTAGTTGAATATGTCAAGTTGAATATGACTCATAATGACCCCATGAACAACTGATCTGACAGTGTCCTATCCAGTGCCAACATCACAATCTCCGATACACTCAAGCCCACTGCTGTGGTCACCATGTTAATCCTTTGTCATCCTTGCCCCTAAGGAACACTCTGGCTACACCTTCTCCAAAATATATTCATTTGTTCTTTTGGCAGTCCATGCAATAGTCAGTGCTCTTCTCCAAAACCAATTCTTCTTCTGGCATCCTTACTCACTGTCCAACTCTCAGATGCAAAGCAAGTGACTGAAAAGACCATAGCCTGAATCAGACACACCTTGGTCCTCAAACTGGTATTATTGTTCCTTACTGATGTGCAGAGGTCTCTGACTGCAGACTTCCCTAACACAGTATGTCTCCTAATTTTCTGTCAGCCAGTACCAAGTATATTGATTGTTGAGCCAAGTAAGATGACAAAGTTGACAGTTTCAATCTTTTCAATCTTTTCTCCATCTATCATGATGTTGCCTATCAGTCCAGTGGTGGGAATTTGTGGTTCTTGATGTTAAGATGTAATCCATAGTGAAGGCTGTAATCTTTGATCTTCTGCTGCAAGTGCTTCAAGTCTCCCTCACTTTAGCAAGCAGGGTTGTGTCATCTGCATAACGTAGGTTGTTGATAAGTACACATTCCATTATACCTTTTTTGTTTTTTTGTTTGTTTTCTCTATAGTCTCCTTCTCCCTATTAGCATGGCAACTAAGAGAAAGGCTTTTGCCTTGTTCACTTGTGCATCTCCTTGCTGTAAGGTCCTTGTCAGTAAATAGCAAAGCTTATGAACTCTGATTTGGCTTTGCAGCTCAGGTGTATGGACAGCTGAGAATGCAACAAAAAGACTACTTATTTATAGTTAAATCATGATTCATCTTTTAGAACTCAATCTGCTCTGAAAGCATAATATTTAACAATAAGTCTCCTAGAAAAAATTAAAGGAAGTGGTACATTAACTCATTAATTTCTTAATCACCAAATATGGCACTAGAAACTAAAATAGTACAATATAAAACAATTTGTTTAAAATTATTAAACAAAAGTAAAACTTACTTTTTGTTCCTATTCTTGACGCATGGCTGGTATAGGACTTTGACAGCATTCCAGACAGAACTGGAATTTTCTTCCTTCAAGGTATCTTCCAGCAAGGGAAATTTTTTGATACTTTTGCAATTCCCCAAAGATTCAATCACCAAACTGTCTGAGTTTAAAAGCCATAACTAAAGACACAAAGAAAAAAAATCTAAGTATATATAAAAACAATTACCACTTATATGCATTATTATATCACCACTCAAACAGATAAAACAACCTCCCCAAAAACCTCAAACCCAAAAACTTATAAAAAATAAAAGAGGAAAAATAAAAAAGCAAAGCAAATTTTATATATATAAATTCTTTTTCCTAATTTAAATTTTAAATTAGGACAGCCTTTCAAAGTGACCTTTGTTGGAGCACCCACTATTCTCTAGCTAAAAATAAAACCATACTAGATGAAAATAATTAATGCATACATAATAAATTTATTATGTAAAACATACAGAGCTCCTAAGTATCAATAAGTGCAAACCCACTGCTATTGAGTCAATGATGACTGATAACAACCCTCCATCAGTTTCTGAGTCTGTAAATCGTTACGGGAAGAGACTGCCCATCATGTCCTCTGGAGCAGCTGTAGATCCACTGCTCTTTTAGTTAGCAATTTGATATGCTGCACATTACAGTACCAGGATTTCTTTAAACATCAGAAAGGAGGGTAAAACCCTAGCCCAAGAGAAATATAAGCAGACAGATTAACAGAATCATAAGATACCACAGTAAGAACAAGAAATGCAAATTTTTATAACTCCATTTGTCACTTACAGTACAAATACTAATAATACTCAATTTGGAATACAGGTTTAGAAAAAAGTATTCCCATCCTTGCTGGTGGAAGCATTCTGGTATTTGACTATACATGATTCATTGTGTGAACTCTCAGGAAAAAGCATGAGAAGAATTAGGAAAGGAGTTAGGCAAGGATGTAATCCAAGCTGGTGTCTAGCTTCAGGCTAATCTGACAAGGGAGTTCTGGAGCACAAAGCACACCTACAGTGTTGGTCCCACCTTCAGACAGCAAGGTCCTTTTTTTCATACTCTACATATTTCAGTGATCTAGTGCAAAGAAGTAGATGGCTTTCAACAAATTTATTTTCTCACTGTTTAGGAGGATAAGTCTGAATTCAGAGCACCAGCTCTAAAAGAACACATGCCTGTCAGCTGTGGGGAAAGGTCTTAGTTCCTTATCGATCTCCATGAGGCTCAGCATCTGTTTTACCCAATCTCTGCTTCTCTAACTTGCTTGTTTAATCTCTTCTATATCTTTTATATTTACTTAAAATACATTCTATACCAACGCTCTATCATTAAAGCAGCAAAGACAATCCCATCCCCAAATTATAGCCACAGGCATAGATGTTATAGTTTACTACATATATTTTGGAGCCACAAAACTCAATCTAAAGCAATTCACCCAGTAGCACACAAAAATAGAAGTTCTCTCAACCACTCATTCATAGTGTTCCAAAAGTCAACCCTAAGTCTGAAAATCATACCTTCTGAATCCTCTAAATTTAGTGATGATTAAATAAGCAAGGCTTTAGTTGTATTCTATCCTGGGACAAAGCTTCTCTTTACATGGGAAACCTAGAATACAAGTGAATTGCTTCCAAGTACAGCACTGGAAAAGGCACAAGGGAGACACCTGCAGTACAAATGGGAGACCCTGGAGGGAAAGAAGCAGTAACAAGGACCAAGCAAATCCAATATCCGACAAAACCATTTCTATTAGCTCTCAAGCCTTGAAAATCCTCTGTTCTTTGGGACCCCTTCAGTAATGACACTGCCTTTTGAACTCCGAGTGGTGACCACGCCCTGTGGATTCTGGTTAGCGATCACTCTACTTTGAGCTTCAGCTCCGCCTTCCAGCCTCACTGGGATGGTAAATCTGTTCCTTCAGCTTTCAGCAGCCCCTTCTCCTAATCAACCTGACTGGCAACTCCACCTCCTCAGGTCCATCAGGTCCCATTCTCCTCGGGCATGGCAACACCAGCCTGTCGTTTTTAGGCAGCAGCCCAATTTCTTTTTCACTTTTGAACCGAGTTGGTGAAGATTTGTTTCTTTGAAACCCAGGAGGTCATGGCTTTACATGAAACCCAGCAAGCCTGGTTCCAAGCAACCCTGAAGGTATGGTGTGTGACATACCTAGCTGCTAAAGAAAAGGTCAGTGGTTCAAATCTACCAGCTGCTCTGAGGGAGAAAAGTGAGGCAACCTCCTACTATTAACGATTTACAGCCTTATCTTGACGGAGGGTCATTGTTAGTTAGAATCAACCTGCTGACAATTGTTTGGATGTTGGCTTGAAGCTTGGTTCTACCCTTTGATATCAAGGTGGCCCTGCTTCTCATGCTCTTTCCAACAGTCTTGCTGATCTCCAACTTGTTTCAAAGCTAGTTCTTTTCTTTTCTTGAAGGACAAAGATGTAGCTAATTTGGAATGATTCCTGCCTATAAAATTCTGACAAAGTTCTTTCCTTTCATATATTTCCTGTCCCTTTCAGTCCAAGATCATGGCTTTTCTACTGTGATCGGTGTTTAGATCCATCTATTATATGCTTTATTACTTTAACAAAATAAAAGTATTTTGGTGAAAATTCTAGGACTTGTGTCTTTAATTTGAACAATTGAATTCTCCAAATCTTTAACTTTTGTCTTTGTTTTGCATCAATTTTTTAAAAGAATTTTTACTTTACATTGGTTTGAATCAAAAATTCATGTATATTGTTTAATTTTTATACATTTTGTTTTACACATTCCTTCATTCCCATATTACACCATTTATTTTGAAGTCCAACTCGTTCCTCTTATATGCAGCAAGGAGAAATCATGGAAGACCCTTGAGATCTTGCACAGAAATTTCACCAGTCACTTATTCAAGTTCATCACAAGTTCTACCTTCCACCAAATATTTGAAATGAAAGGAGGTGTTTGTCAGTGCATATAATGCACTGGCCTTTCTTCACTATTCAATTTTATGTTCATCATTTTCTTATAAAACTTCCCCCCAGTGTTTCTTTTACTTTTGAAAGAGAGGAGCGAACTGGGGGGTGGGGGGGAAGGGGCAGGGAAAGAAGTGCAGCAGTGAATGAATGGAAATCCAAAATCTCTGTAAATGCTCATTAAAATTATTAAAAATAAAAACAAAAACAAAAACAAAAAAAACTTCCACCCAAGTATATTTGGCATTCAAATTGCTAGCAAAATTCGGCTGCTGGTGCTGGAACCTTTCTCTACAGGCCTCCATCTATCCTTCCTTTCTTTTGAGCCCTCACCAGAACTACCTGTGTCATCCATAATCCAGGCTTTTACTGCTAACCATTTTCAAACTCTTCCAAAACAACTTGCACATTTTACATTCTTTGTTAAAGCAACACTTACTCCTGGCATCGAACCATCTTAGTTATCTAGTACTGCTCTAACAGAAATGTCACAAGGGGTGACTTTAACAAACAGAAATTTATTGTTTCCTAGTTTAGAAGGCTAGAAGACTATGACTCAGAGTACTAGCTTTAGAAGTACATTTTCTTTTTTTATTTTAATTGTGTTCTTTACACTTTAATTTGTGATTTTAATATCTTTCTCTTTTAATTGTAATTTAATTCTGTAATGAAAGTTTACAGGAAAGTTGGATTTTCACTCATTCATTGTGGCACATTTTCCTCTTTCCCCCTCCCCTAATTCCCTCTTTTTTAAAAATATTCATTCATTGCTACACAATTTCCTCCCCCACCCCCTCCTCTCCCTCCCCCAGTCTTCTGCACAATGTATCTCTTATTCTGGACCATTATCTTATATATAATGCCTAATCACATATTCCTTTTAAACAATTCTCTCCCTCATCTGTTCCAATACAGTGTTCATTATCTATCCACTCTTTTCCTATTCTCCTCCCAACCCCCCATGTCAGTCCTGCTTCATAATAGTGATGCTATGCAGTATGTGTCCTTTTGAGACTGAGACATTTCACTCATCATAATGTCCTCCTGCGTCACCCATGCTGTGTAATGTTTTACTATTTCATGGTTTTTCTGTGCTGCAAAGTAGTCCATTGTGTGACTATACCAGTTTTTCTATCCATTCATTTGTCGACGGGCACTTGGGTTGCTTCCATCTCTTTGCTGTTGTGAATAATGCAGCAATAAACATAGGTGTGCATACATCTGTTTGGATGGTGGTTCTGGGTTCTTTGGGGTATAATCCCAGCAGTGCAAGTGCTGTGTCAAACGGTATTTCTATTTGAAGTGATAAAAACATTTTTGAAAAGATAGTGCTAATGGTTGATTAACATGGTAAACATCATTAATACTACTGAATTTTATGCTTTAAATTAGTTGCATTGGAAAATATATCACAATAACTTTTTAAAATAATACAATTCCAATTTTAGTTTTGATTTTTCTTTTTCTTTTTTCCTTGTTGTGTACCGCCGAATCAGATCCGACTGGCCCAAGAGGAGATTGTCCCTCCTTCTCCAGCGGGTAGCATCTGGTGGATTTGAACCAATGCCTTCGGGATTACAGTGCAGCTTCTTGCCACTAGGCCAACCCAAGCTGCCACAATTCCAATTTTAGACTGCATAAAAATACATTTGTATCTCAGAGTGTTGAGATGAAATATGAGTTTCAAACCTTCTTTTCTGCTTTCCTCTACCTTCCAAATGGAATATGTTTTATTTGTATGAAAAGGAAAATCTGTAATTATATACTTTAAAACAAGAGCAACTAAAAGAGGAGAAGCAATAGTACCTATTTTACACATAAGCCAATCATAAAACAAGAGAGAGAAATGGATGGCATTATTCTGACCATGATAAAAACTAGAAACTTAGTGGCACAGCTAGTAAAACACTTGACTGCTAACCAACAGGTTGGCAGTTTGAACCCCCAGAAACTCTCTGGGGAAAAGCCAAACATGATCTATGGCCATAAGGAAACCCTATGGGGCAGCTCTTTCTGTTCTATAGTCAATGGTGAGCAAGAATTAACTCAATGGCAGTGGGTTCTGGTTTTCTGTTTTAACACATAAAGGTATTTGATCATTTGTAATGAATTAAAGAAGTTTGATATAGGAATTAAACTGGTAATGAGACAATACTTTTTATAACTTATTTTCTAGACATAAAAATGAAGAAATATGAATGGAAAAAAAAATTCTGAGAGTTACGATTACAAGGCGATAATAATCACTCACCAAGATGTACACTTTCCGATCATGACCTTGAACAGCGAACCGAAAAGTACTTCTAGCAGAAGACAGTTCCACCAGACACTGGGCAATAACACTCTGTACAAACTGAGACCTGTGTGGACAAAAATCTGTTTTCACAATGTGCCCTTCATACTAAATCGACCTGGCAAGAAGAGTCAGCAATGCCCTCAGGGTACCTAACAGGCAGGGGCATCTGCATGCCAGCCTTCTCCACACTGCTCCTTTCCACATAAACTGTGCTAATGGAGAGTTTAACAGATTTTAATGTAGTCATGTTGACTCCATTTTTCTTAAACCTCTTCCTTAATTCTCAACACACTTTAACATCAAAGTTAACCCATTCTTTCCTATGGAAATTTAAAAAAAAATATGGTGTCAATATTCCACATCAAATTGGGAATAGCTGTGATAAAGGAAGGTGAGACATTTCCTACCAAATATTACACACTATTATCTACAATGTGTTTTGTTTGGATTTAATTAAAACACAAGCTCTGAGGTGCAAAGTCAAAGTTTTTAAAGGAATAGAAAATTCAAAGCTATGTTTACATATGCATAAATTTCAGGCATCAGTAAATAAACTACAATAAAAATATACTTCAGTGAAATTTTTTTGCCAACTAAAAAGATTGAAATAAAAGAAACACTATAGACTTAGTAGATAAGTACCATTTTTACAGACATTAAAATAGTTTAAAAACTGATTCATGCTTCAAATCTTTAAAAGGTCATGTTAAAAGCAAAAGTAATTATTCAAAAGCCTACTTGTAATTAGGTTGTAAAATCCTGGGTATCTATGCAAGCCAAATTAAAAAAAAAATAAAGCTTTCCAAATCTCAGAGAGAAAAAAAAGCAAAAAGAAGAAATCACTAATTTCTACTTTTTTATATATCAAATCAAAATTCAAGAATAACTATTTTAAAATGCCTCTTATATATAAATAGGACTCAATATTTTTGCTAAAATTGTAATTAAAGCAGCAGTGGTTATAACTAGTGATATATTTGCACTTTTCTAAATAAAACAGAGTAAAAATGGGGAAAAAAATCCTGGGTATCTGGCACACAAGAAGAAAGAAAAAAAAATACAAACAAATAAATCCTCTAGTTTTTTTTTATATGTGGTTTTATATGTAGTTTTTCACAGTTTGGTTTGGCTAGTATTTCAAAGTCTTTAATGAGACTTTTTTGGTGGGGTATTTTTTTTCTTTTGAAAGAATGAGATATGCAAATAAGAAGGAAATTTTAAATCATTTTCTCCAAAATCAATATGAGAGAATAAGTTTAATTCAAGACAAATACCTTGGCAGAATGGGAAAATTTCTCCCAGATGGTTGAACAATTATCTCTGTATTATAGAGCTTCATAGTTTCTAGAAACAAAAGGAAAAAATTAAGAACTTTCTTAATTCATGGATATTTTAATTGTGAACATGTCAGTACAAATGAATGATGATATTCCAGATTAAATAATCAACATTTTGGTAACACTAATATTGAGTAAAACTTTTCTAAAAATTAATTTTATTACTGAAAACAAAGTATTGATGACTTAAAGAAAATAGTTTTGAGATCTTAGTGTCATTTCAGAAATGTATGCCTTAAGCAGATCTCCTGTACCAAGCAAGACTCTACTAACAGAGCAGGATGTACATTAGTTATATGATAGGCATAGTCTACTCATCCAGAAATGCGGTATCACTTCTGTATAGTAGACTTTAATCTGTGAGTCTCTGAACAGGCTTTTAATTACAGTATCTCAAACCACAGGCATGGTTGTAATAAATTGCACATTAGTATGTATCCAAAATCTCCTTAGTTCCATTAACACGCAATCTCACAATATCTACTCACTTACTTTACTGAAAATCTTAAATAGTAAACTGTATAGTTAACACATATGAAAGTACAGTCAACCATTTTAGTTTTTTAAAAATCCATATGAAATGTTTTAATAGCATTAGTAATGAAATACAAATTTACATCAAATCAACAAAATATTTTAAATGATAAGGTGCAGCACTGATAAGATAAAAAGGTACAGATATATTTACTCATATGATCGGAATTTAAAAATAGTTTTTAAAAATGTCTCAATGAAGTCTGTGGGATTCCTCTACAGTAACAAAGAAAACACAGAAAAGTAAAATAAGAAAGTAATCCCATTTACAATGGTTGACCACAAATTGAGATACTTAGGAATAAACCAATAAACTACAGATATAAAAGACCTTTACAAAGAAAACTACAGAACACTTCTGCAACAAACAAATAAAGATCTAAATAAATATGAAAATGTTTCCTGCTCATGGATAGGAAGACAATATAGTGAAAATGACTATCCTACCAAAAGGAATCTATATGTTTAACACAATCCCAATATAGATACCAGATTCATATTTTCTTTATGGAGATAGAAAAGTTTGAGTGGAAAGAGACCTTGAATAAGCAAAGCACCTCTAAAAATAAAAATTAAGTGGAGGCATAGCTCTACCTGATATCAAAACTTACTATACAGCTGTAATAAACAAAACAGCATGGAACTGGTACAGTGACAAGCATATAGACCAATTGAACAGAATCAAGAACCCAAAAATTAACCTATCTATCTATGGTCAACTGATATTTGACAAGAAAACAAAAAAAAATCTATTAAACAGTGAAGCAACAACCTCTTCAACAAATGGGGCCAGCAAAACTGGACTGCTATCTGCAGAAAGCTGAAGCAGGATTCACATCTCTCACCATACTAAAAACTCAACTCAAGATGGATCAGAGACCTAGGCATAAAGCCCAAAACCATAAAAATCCTAAGAGACAAAATGGGACTAAGCTAAGATTGCCTCGCTTATGGTATAAAAAGGCTGTCAAATATAGCCATAAATACACACCAGGAAAAGATCAAATTGATGAATGGGAACTTCTAAAGATTAAATTAATGTGTGCATCAAAAACCTTTTCCAATAGGGTAAAGAAAATCTACTGACTGGGAGAAAGGATTTGGCAATATCTTCTCAGACAGGGTCTCATAACAAAAGTTTGTAGAATCCTATAAAGCATCCAAAAGAAAAAGAGTGATAACCAAACTAAAAATTGGGCAAGAGACAGGAAAGACTTTTCATAGAGGAGGACATTCAGATGGACAACAGACACATGAAGAAATGCCCAAAACCACTGTCAAAAAGAGAGATGCAAATCAAAACCATGATGACATACCATTTCACCCCAGTAGCAGTGACAAAGCTTAATGTGTTAGCCGTAATAAATGTTGGAGAGGATGTGGAGAAGTGGGAACTCTCATATACTGTTGATGGGATTCTAAAGTAGTACAACCATTCTAGAAGGAGTTTAGCAATTTCTCAAAAAGTGGAGCATAGAAACGCCATGCCAAAAAAAAAAGAAAAAAGAAAGAAACTCCATGACACAGCTATTTCACTCCTAGGAATACACTCCAATGAAATTAGAACTGAGACATAAATGGAGATTTGCACACTAATGTTCATAGCAGTGTTATTCATAATCTCAAGAACATGAAAATAACCCAAAGGTCCAACCACAATCAAATGGATTGAGAAATTGTGGTACATTCACATGATGTAATACTATGCAGCATTTAGGATTAATTATTCTTACAAACTACTACAAAACGTGGGAAAGTCTGGAGAGCATTATGCTGAGTGAACTAACTCAGTCTCATACGGATAAATACTGCATAGGACCATTATTGTAAAAACAGAAGGATAACTAGTAAAACATATATGGGGATCAAAGGCAGGGAAGAGGTGGGAGCAGAGGAGTAAGAATGAGCAGAAGGAGATATTACAGGATTGTACAATTTGGTGGGTGGAGGGGGGTAAGGGAAATGGGAAAGATCCCGTGGCAATCTGGAAAGATAGGTTAATGATGGACATGGTTTAGTGGTGACTGATTTTATAACACATAGGGAATGAGAATGTATGAAACACAATATGATTGAAGGATAATATGAAACCATATATATATGGTTTATATGTGAAACCATATATATATAAACTTTGCAAACCAATGTAAAATTTAAAAATTGAGTATTTTTTTAAAAAGTGACGCAGTGAAGGCCTCAGAAACATGTTAAGTATTTTGGCACAATACTAAACATCTAAGAATTTATATTAAAGAGTGAATATAAAAGATTTATCTATGTGATACTCAATATTAGTAGAAAAATTTCAAAACAAGAGAAGTATCTAAAAACTGAAGATGGACTCCCATCAATTTCAAAACATAGCAACTCTACAGGCAAGGGTGGAATCGTTCAACAGGGCTTCTAAGGTTATAGATCTGAAAGTTGACGGCTGCACCTTTCTTTGATAGAGCAGCTAGTAGATCCTGACTGTTTGTTATATAATATCACTGGTTTTACACCTCTAGAAAATCCAGCTTGAGTCATCTGGCATTAAGAGTGAATTGGAATGAACAAATTCTTAAGAATAAGGGTTCTGAAATGGTCCTTAAGTCTGATTAGACCAACATACACTGATGTTCCAGTAGGGACGAGAGGAAAAAGCTAATCAAGGACATAAGTTCGCATTAGAAATATGTAAAATATCAAGACCAATGGATCAAATATTTGTGAGTAATAAGGTTTTAGATGATAGTGTATTTTACACCTTTTAGCATTTCTGACAAACTAACAGAAAACTGACAGTGGAGAGAGATAAGCTAAGAGCTTGCAAATCACAGCTAAAGGGCTACATCAGACACCAGAAAGCTTTCCATGTTCCCTTAAATACAGCATTGTTTCTTATTCAACTGAACCAATATTGCTGTAGACCAAACCTAGAATATTGTTTGTTGTAAGAGTCATAATGCTAGTTTAGAAATGCAATCACCTCTGGAAGGCAGTATAGCGCTCTCTCAAAAAGTTGGAAGTAGAAATACCATTTGACCCAGCAATTCTACTACTGGGAATAAACCCTAATGAAGCCAGATCTGCCACCCAAACAGATATATGCATACCTATATTTATTGCTGTGTTGTTCAAAATAGCAAAGACATGGAAACAACCCAAGTGCCCATCAACAAACAGAGAATTCACACAATGGAATATACTATGCAGCACTGAAAAGAAAGGAACTCATGATATATTATACAAAATGGGCGACTGTGGAGACATTATGCTAAGTGAACTATCTTAGTCGCAAAAGGACAAGTACTGTATAATGCCACTGATATAAAACAGGACTAACATGGGGTTTGGGGGGAAACTATGAAAAGAGGAGATAAATAATGTATAGTGCATTGAAACAGATGAGGAAAAGAACTGCTTAAAAGGAATATATGGTTAGGTATTATTTGCATGACAACAGTCCAGA